AGCACAAGGTCCCCAGTTCAATCCCCAGTAACAAAAAAAGAAAAAAAAAACTGGACTCCTATAGCTAAGCACTCCCATGTGACAGTGAGCGGTGAAGGCAGGACTGCTGACAGCCTTGTGTGCATACTCAGGGCAAACCCTGAAGGCCCAGTACCTCATTCAAATCAGCTCTTGTTGGAAGTGTTCTTGGCCCCACTGTGGGACAGCACCTATGTGCTCATGCCCATCACTTGGGTCCCAACACCACTTGCAGTTCTGACAGGCAAGCACGTGTGGGTCACATCATAACTATAGCATCTGGACTCTGTGTGGTCCCTGGGAGTTACATGCTACTTCTCCAAGCAGCACATTCTCTTTTACAAAGTGAGGATGTACTAACAACTGCTCAGGCTATCATGAAAATAAAGGAATGTTTGTTTACAAAGGGTTTGAAATGTAGTATGCATGTTGCCTTATAACCTAAGGGCTAGAGAGTCGTCTGTGGTTCTCTTCTCCTTGGCAAGAGATCTAAACAGTAGAATCTCCCCATTATATTGGCAGACTTTTCTTCCTTTGGTTGGAGGTAAATGCTGTATCCGGTAGCTCAAGGAGCCCTTCCACTAATTAGGATGCCCATGTCCTCATTTGTTCATTTATTCACTTATTCACTCACCACAAACTTACTGAGCCCACACTGTATTCTGGACAGTGTGCTGTGAAGGACAGGTTCGACCGATCTAGCCTGGGGTGAGGGGTAAGGTTTCTGTGGGATTATGTCACCCAAAAAGTTAACATTGAGCCATTATCTAAATTATGAACAGTTAACCAGGCCAATGGGGTGTTGGGGGGAACAAACAGGCAGGAAGCAAAGTAGAAAAACGTCTACAGAAACTATCTGGTAGGTGTTTAGGACTCTTCATAAAGTTGTTCTTCTAATTTCTTCAGTGCCCAACTCTTTTACCTGTTTGAAGTGTATTTCTCAATCATTTCTTTACATTTCTTTCAAACTGATCCTGTTTGCTCTTTCTGAACTTCATTAATTCAATAATTGGGCACTTACTCTATGCTTGGATCTGGATATAAGATGGGACAGAAATCACTGCTCTGCTGATTGAAGGTGAGACAGAGAAACAGAATAAAACATACACAATAAATTAGAAGATAACAAGCAGAACCAAGAAGAACAGATAAACAGGATAGGAAGCTAAGAAATTCCAGGGGCTATGTTAACATTTTAGATGGGATGACCGATGGAGGGCTCCCTAAGAAGCTAAGGCTGGAATAAGACATTGGATTTTACTACACTGAATGAAGTGGGAGCTATTGGAAGGTTCTGATCCGAAAGAGACACAATTTGACTCAGGTTTTAACAGCATCATCATGGATATTTTTCAGTTACTGGACAGTTGGGCCCTCTTCCTGTGTGCTGAAGCTGTTAAGGGTGCATTTTTATTTCTAAAATGCTTCTGACTTTTTCTTGC